CCCACTTCAATTTGCTTTGGGAGGGGGCCCTGCATCGCATCGGTCGCAAGGTGTCCCGGACTGCGTGTCATGACGGTGCCTCTTGAAAGGGTGCAGAGCTCCTGTCCAATTGATGCTAGATAATGAAGTAAGGGCTCTCGGTAATTATCGTCTCCTTCCGGAGAGGCAGGAACTCTGGTCATAGGGGGGAAGCCAAATCTCTGTTATTCAATGCAAAGGATTATCTGGCCTCCATCCACTCAAACCCTGCCACACTCCCTGGGAAGGGTTAGAGGGGAGGGTCCTCAACTGGAAGGACGCCCAGAACGCCATCGAACCGACCTTCCAGGAGAGCTGCTGTCCTGCCACAGTCAGGAGGGTGGAGAGCCAGGGACCGCTGAGTTCAAGAAACTGCCGTCGCTTTAGCTGAGATCCGGGAACCAGGAAGCTGTGGTTGCTGCCAGTGTTGGCTCTAGAACTACACTGTCCAAAACATGTGGCTGTTGACACTTAAATTAACTTTACAATGTAAATAGTATTAAACATTCAGTTCTTGGTTGCACTAGCTACATTTCAAACATGGGGCTAGTGGCTACCATATTGGAAAGTGCAATAGAGAACATCACCATTGCAGAAGGTTCTAGAGGACTGTTGCGCTCGAGCAGGGGCGGGGAACGTCCGGCCCGTGAGCCGGAAAAGGCCCGTGAAATCATCTGGTCTGGCCCTGCCAAGGCTTGAGGGGTGCGTTAATGAAATGTTTGACCAAATATAGCAGGCTAATTTTTAAGTTGATAATTTTGTTTTGTCCGCAAATGATGTTATAAATATCCAAATGGCCGTTGGCAGAAGAAAGGTCCCCCACCCCTGCTCTAGAGTGGCCCAACAGTGGCTATATTTTCACTGGCCAAAAATGGATACTCTTTGTCCTTGCTTTTCAAGGCTAGTAATTACTCACTAGCATAGCAAATGTCATTGCTTTCACGACCCCGCTGGTCAGTGGGAGTGGCAAAAGTGGGGCTTCTGCCTCTGCCTACTGGAACCCACAAAAGTGCAACTTATTTCCCTGGCTGGTGGCTCAGTGGTTAGAGCATTGACCTGCTCATCAAAGGGTCAAGGGTTCGATTCCTTGTCAAGGGCACATGCCGGGGTTGCAGATTCGATTCCCAGAGGGGGCATGTGCAGGAGGAAACCAATTGATCTCTTTCTCTCTCTCCCCCTCCCTCCCTCCCATTCTCTCTAAAAGTCAATGGAAAAAGTATCCTCGGGTGAGGATTAACAACAACAAAAAAAGTGCAACTTATTGTCGAATCCAAATCACAGCAGAACCATAGCTGCAAGGGATTCTGGGCAGTGTAGTTTTTTAGCTCCCCTGGCTGTGCAGTGTGGGACTTTGGAAGGTCAGTTCATCATATCCCCTATACCAGTGGTTGGCAAACTGTGGCTCGCGAGCCACATGCGGCTCTTTGGCCCCTTGAGTGTGGCTCTTCCACAAAATACCACGTGCGGGTGCGCACGTACAGTGCGATTAAAACTTCGTGGGCCATGCGCAGAAGTCGGTATTTTGTGGAAGAGCCACACTCAAGGGGCCAAAGAGCCACATGTGGCTCTCGAGCCGCAGTTTGCCGACCACTGCCCTATACCATTCTTTGAGGCTTTGCTGCCGGAGTACAGGGTTACCTCTGGTTCTGGAACACGTGATGGCATTTGAGCTATGAATCAGGAATGGTGTGCCCGGAAATGGTTAGGGCATGTATAATAATCATCCCAGCTGCCTAATTGAGCAGCTACTATATGCCAGGCCCGTAGTTGAACACAGCAGTTCTCCAGCTTGCCAGGGCATCAGAATCACCTGGGAATTGTTAAAAACACAGAATCCCAAGCCCCATCCAGAGTGTTGATTCAGGGGTCTGAATTTGAGGCTAAAAATCTGCAGATGGTAATGAGCTCCCTCCAGTTATTCCAATTTGGGTGGTTTGCTGACCATGCCTAGAGAAACCACTCAACATGTTATGCACATCATCTTTTTAACTTCTCCCTCTCAGTCTTCACAAGGGTGAAAAATCCCCACTCAGAAATAGGCTCAGAAAAGTAAAATCCCTCACCCATCATCAGTGTAATTATAATTTTTAAAAATAATTTATTTTTAAATTTTATTTATTGATTTGAGAGAGAGAAAAACATGCTCCATTCATTTATGCATTCATGGGTTGAGTCCTGTATGTGCCTGGACTGGGGATTGAACCCACAACCTTCACATATCGGGATGACGCTCTGACCAATTGAGCTACCAGGCCAGAGTCACAGTGTATTGAAAATTATAGCTGATCTTTACTGAGTGCTTCCTGTGGGCCATCTTACCAGCTAACCAGCCTAAGGACTTTACCCCTTGCTTATAACGATCCTGGAAAGTGTGGATTGATCTCCATCTACCAGATGAGACAACCGAGGGACATTTATTTGATGTTATATAACTAGGAGGTATCAGAGCCACTTGGAACCCAGGTCTGATTCCATGGTGCTCTCTACTGCCTGCGAACCAACCCAATGCCCCCCAAACCTTAAAAATGGTAATACCCAGTGCTGGGTGTTAGATAAAGATGTGGGAAACAGTCCTTCAGACACACCTGGTCATAAGTTGGCATACTTTTGCAGAAAGTAAATTGATATTATATATCAAAACTCCTTTTATTAAAAAAAAATATTTTTTAATTGATTTCAGAGAGGAAGGGGGAGAGAGAGATAGAAACATCAATGATGAAAGGATCACTGATTGGCTGCCTCCTGCCTCTCCCCACTGGTGACCGAGTCCAAAACCCAGGCATGTGCCCTGACCGAGAATTGAACTGTGATCTCCTGGTTCATAGGTCGATGCTCAGTCACTGAGCCACGCCGGCCAGGTTATATCAAAACCCTTAAAAATATCGATACCTTCGTCCCAGTAGCCTCACTCTAGAAAATTACCCAAGTAAAGCATCTTGGATGAATCAAGCTGTGGGAATGTCGAACAGGAGTCAAAAAGGATCCAGGACCCACAGGGACAGGAGGGATGCTTTCTGTTCGAGGTGGCTTGTTAGAGGAAAGGGGACGGATCCCAGCGTGTCTGAGGCAGTGGGTTCCTGGAGGGCAGCAGGGGGAGGTGAGAGCCTCGTTGCCTGGCTGCGACCTGGCTCTGAGGCCGGGGAATGGCCAGATGCAGGGGGAGCAGCTCTGAGCCCTGCCTCTTCTCTCCCTCCCAGGACCCTGCCCGCTCTGCTGGCTTCCACCCCAGTGGCTCTGTCCTGGCTGTGGGCACAGTGACTGGCAGGTAAGGCTGAATTGGGCGTTTGGGGAGGGCTTCTCTGCTCTCCTCTCCCCGAACTGTCCCTTGAGCCCCGTTCCCTACTGTCTCCACAGAGAACATTAGTTAGGTACCACTGTTTACCAAGCAAGACTTGATC